ATATTATATACTATATACTATATTTTTTATTATTATATGTATATTTATTTATTTATATTATATTATATTATATTGTATTATATTATATTATATTATATTATATCATATTATATCATATTATATTATAGTATAGTATAGTATAGTATATTATGTTCTTCAAATCACGTCATCACGATGCCCTGGCATTGAAGACTCGAGCTGAGCGGCCAAGCGTGTCTGCAGCACCTGTGGTGCCGACGTGCTACGCAATCGCGATTCTTATGGTTATATATTACTATCTATATTATGATCATTATAAATGTTATTCTTATTATTCTGACCATCATGATTATTATGGTGATTACACCCAAGGGATGAGGATGTACCATTTCTGCTTCTTGAAATGCACGTGCGAGCCTGGACATACATCTAAGTGTGCATCGTTCGCTGTCCCTACGTGCACACAAGCATGTCCAAACATTCATAGACATATCTATATATATATATGTATGTATGTATGTATGTATGTACGTACGTACATATGCACATATGTCTATCTATATATATATATATGTATGTATGCCTGTACACATGCAAATGGCTGAGAGCACGTCTACACGCGACGTACAAAATATGTACCGATTGTCCAACCATGTTCGGCTCTATCTGGCACGTCAAGGCTATTTCTGACAATTCATGCACCTATCCCGTGTATGCACCTTTTTACTCTCTTGCTTCTGCAATTCTGTCTTCATTACAGCTGAGCAAAATTAGCAATCGCCTGTGGTATCGATGCATATGAAGTGTGCTTCTTCAGCTTTCGGGGGAATCAACCCTAAACTCTAAACCCCAAACCCTGAAAGTACTGTTAAGCATTTTCGGCCAAACAGTGTCAGATTGAGGGTCGGCGCAACCCTAAACCCCAAACCCTAAACCCTAAAACCCTAAACCCTAAACCCTAAAAACCCTAAACCCCAAAACCCTAACGCACTAAACCCTAAAACCCTAAACCCCCCTTTTAGGGAAACCCTGCCCTTGAGCACCTCCAGAGCAAGGTCTGTCAACACGAAACCGGCCAAGTGAACAGGATATAGGGTTTAGGGGTTTAGGGGTTCAGGGGTTTAGGGTTTAAGGCTGAGGGTTTAGGTCTCGAACCCCAAAAAAACCAAAATGCTCGGGGCACTGAAGGACCGCTGCAGTGGCCGGCGGCGCCGCCGGCTGCGTCGTTCGGGGACCAAGGAAGGCCAGGTGGGACCTCGATGTCAGCTCCCGAGGGGTCAAGGTTTAGGGATTTGGGGGCTTGGGGCTCAAGCTCAAAAGAATCGAAGCTAGGAAATTATGATTGTCCAGCCCGTGGCCCCGAAGATTCATGAAGCCTCAGAATACTCAGAGATTGCTTCGGGTTCGGGGACTGCTAACTTGCAGGAAAAGAAGCTGGTTGGACTTGTTTAGACCCCCAAACCCTGCACCAAACCACATGGGACACCTGGGGCCCGTACCCCCAGGGCCCCAATCTGCGGTCCAGCTGCCTGGCTAGGTATGAGGCGGGGGTTCCATCTCATCGAGGGGTTCCTTCCTCCCCGTGATACAATAAGGAGAGCAACCAGAAAAATGACAGTACCCATTCAAGGGCTGAGATCACAGAAGGCAAGAAGAGCAGTAGGGTACAGACAGTTGCATGATGACCCCGGATTTATGTTGCGAAAAGGTCAGAAGGCCACAACGGCAACTACCAAGAATTCGGGTGCAGCTCCGTGGTTGGGTAGCCAGCGTTGCTGCAGTCATAGCCAGTGGAACATGTGCTCTTACTGCGAGCCATACGTAGCCTCCAACCGTCGCTTCGCTGTTGTGGTTTGGGATCCGGACAGGTGCACTCGTCGTAGTTTCGAGTTCATCTGCAAACTTGGCTTTGTCTCTTGGTGGGCATTCTCATTACATGAGTGCAGGTAGCATGTTCAAACAGCAAGCACTATCGGGCTTGAAGTTCCCACGAGAAGCCTGACAAACGCGGTCTTCCAATATCTGTGCCCAACCTTGGTGGAGGATAGGACAGAGCCACCTTAGCCTTGTTCCCCGACAGTGCTAGCCTCCTGCGACATCAGCCTGTCTATCTACATTGCTGAGTTGCATCTTCAGCAAGCCTCCTGTCCAATCTCGCAGCCTATAGCCTCTCGATGGTCAAGCACCCTTGCATCCCAGTGAGGCCGAAAAAACAGCAACATAAACGCAAAGTGGAGAGGGATGCAACAGTCTGCTCAAGATTGTCCATCTTGCTAACAGAATAGTTCTTCATCCATTCGTCCATACCCCCGGAGCGCTCCTTCGGACCACACACGCGATACCTCCAGCAACCTGGGCTTGGCAAACGAAGATTTGCAGGTCAGCGTGAGTTGCAGCCAGCTTTAAGAAAGCACTTCCACTGGACCAGCAAAAGAGCCTCCGCCACCCACCAGTACCACCAGCGCCACTAGCACCAGCAGCAGCAGTACCACCACCACCATTACCACTTGCACCGGCTCCGGCAGAACCAGCACCAGCAGCACCGGCACCACCACAGGCACCGCCACCACTACCACGACCGCCGCCACCACCACCAGCACCACCACCACCACCATCACCAACACCACCGCGGCATGCTGGCGATGAATGAAAATCGATGCTCATGTTCGTGCCCGCAATACTAGCACCTGAGGAAAGCAGATGGGCATGACAATGATGGAAGGACTAAGGGTGAAACGATGATGAGAAGGATGGGCGTGTGCCAGGATGTCAGAGTCCCGGACACCTGCTGATGCCTCCTCACACATGTAGGCTGCTCAAGAGCCACTCCATCGCCCGTCTAGAAATCGGCGTGGGCTCTACCATCGACCGAGGTTGTCGTCCGAAACCGCACGCGAGAACTTCTTCCGTAATGGGCAGAGGGGCACGGTGCAGGCGAGCTTAGTGCGCAAAACGACCAGGGAGTTTCGAAGATGACGCGGGACCAAACATCGGCAGTGCCGCAACATGTGCGACAGGCAATCGCCCAGAGAGAAGCAATGGATGCACCATCATCAGTAAAACAATCCGACAGAGCATCGCCTTTTATTTGCATCCCTACCGTCATGTGGGACACTCCAGGCCGTGTCCCCAGCATGGACGTTTGTGCGCTGGCGCCGCCAGATCCCCAACCGGCGCTAGAAAAACGAAACTGCACACTGAACTCTCCAAGGAAACGGGATCCGTGCAAAGAAGAAAAAAACAGATCTTTGCCTTAGGCTCCAACTCGGACTCGTCAGCAAGGCGTTCGGTGCGCTGCTCCTCAGGCGGATGCAGGTTCTCACAAGCTTGCCTGGGACTAAGTGGCTAGAGCTCAGAGAAGAGTACTGTCGCCGAAGGCTAGAAGCTAATAGCCGCCAAAAGTGTACATACCAAGAGCCGCAACACGCGCAAGCCCTGCACGCGCTGCAGCACAAACCTCCAAACTATCGAAGACAAAGAGACTCAAAGGCTGGAACACACCATGCCCTGAACCTTACACTCCCTAAACCCTAACACAAAAAACTTTAACATCTCCGGGGCTCCTCGATCTCCTCGCAAACCTCGGACTCCTCATCACAGCGAGGCGGCTCCGTGCGGGTCTCTGCCGACAGCGCCTCAGCCACTCCACTACCTAATGCTCGGGGCTCATGACAGTATCATTAGCATTAGTTTATTGCTGTTTTATGGATATTCTGAGTATTGCTGTAACCGATGATTTTAATCATTACTTTTTGAAGTACTAAATTTCCTATTATTATCATCATTCCTTTTAAGCATTGCTATGACTACTTTGCATATTTCTCGGTTTTGGTGGGGGTTGGTGCTTGAAACCTTTGAGGGGAAATGCAAGTTTCGGACTTCCGGGCTTCAGGTCTTAGCTGTTTTGGGCTTTCAGGGTTTAGGGCTTAGGGCTTAGGGTTTGGGGGTTTAGGGTTTGGGGGTTTAGGGTTAGGGGTTTAGGGTTTTGGGGGGTTTAGGAGTTTAGGGCTTAAGGCTTAGGGTTTAGGGTTTAGGGTTTGAAGACAGGGAGATGATAGAACACTCACCCCAAAGCTCATGGATAGAACTGGAAGCACTAGCTTGGGCAGTTGCGTCCGGTCATATGCGAGCTGCTCAGATTCCACAGCCGTCTGAAAGAGTTACCCTCCCTGAGCCTCGAGTTGCGCCTGATCTTCCGAAACCCAAAAGGGCAGAGGAAAGGCATCGTCCGGCTCCCCTCTGAGATTCCCGGATGCATCAGACTTTAAGCTTCATGCATGGCCTTGAGTCCCTGAACCTGAAATGGTAGACCTCGAGCGCTTTGACGGCGGTGGCTTCTGTCGAAGGTCCAGGAAGCAATGCGCCAGGATCGAATTTAACCGAGAGAGCCACTTGCAATTGAAAGGCCTGAAGTCAGCCTGAAGACCATTGGAATTCACGAATCTGCCAGTCTGAATCGCACTGGCTCTCTGCAGAACGCTAGATCACGTGCGGCTGGCTTCTTTGAGCCTTAAGCACAACATCCTCCCACTGGACTCAAGGAGTCTTGGCCAAGCCCCAGTGAGGTGAGACACAAAGAATGATCAAGGTTCTACAAGAATCGGCTTGTTCTAGCTGCTACCTTTCCATATGCACTGCCCTCGAGTCGAAGCAAGCCGCACGCACTTCATGCAGTAAGGCTGCCCAGGTCGTGACTTGAACCACTGACCCCCCTCAAACTCACCTTCATCAGCTTCGGGTGTCCTGAAGCCCTGGATGCCTCCAAGCCTCGAGCACCCCGACCTACTCACAGCAGGATCGGCGTGTCAGGGGCGCAAAGGCCGCCGTCACAGCCGCTCTGCCCAAGTGCGTAGCAGCCCTGTTCCAGCAGTCTCTAGGCTTCAGGATCTGAAGGATGGAGGCTGTAAAGAACCTGGTACTAATGATCGTAGTCAAGGTAATGCTTTTGATAGTGATGGTCATAATCAGAATCATGATCGAATCATAGCCATAATCACAACATTATCTGATATTTTAATAATCATGAGAAGAAGCAAACTTGCAGTCAGAAGACTAAAGAGCAATCATAATCATAACAAGACTGGCAATGTCAGTAGTAATAACAAGATTGGTTACATAAAGATAAGACTCATTTGCGTATAGGTGCTTTTGTTCTAACAACGACAATTAGGATGCTTATAGCCACAATCACACTCATAATTTCATTCGTAAGAGTGGCTGAGTAGCAGTTGCAGCTGCAGTACGAATCGTCGCACGAATAATATTATTCATCATGGTCATAATTAATGACGCTGATAATAACAACGATACTGACAACGACACAAATGATAAGCAACAACAGCGGTAATGACAATTTCAACGATGAGTGTCACGCTTAAGGATATTGACAACAGTAATATTGTTGAGACTCTCTCGCTACCTCATACTCGTTCTCCTCCTACTGCTTTCTGCTACTGCTCTTAATGCTGCTACTGCTGCTATTAACTTACTGCAGCTGCGCCTGCCACTCTGCCAAGGCTGCTGCTTCTGCTGCTTCTGCCACTGATGCTGTTGATGCTGTTGATGCTAATGCTGCCGCTGCTCATGGTGCCGCTGCTGCTGGTGCCGCTGCTGCTGCTGCTGCTGCTGCTGCTGCTGCGGCAGCTACCACTACTTCTCCTCCTTCTGTGGCTGCTCCTCCTACATCTGCTTCTTCTAGAGATTCCAGCTCAATCCCCGGCACTTAGATGCAACGATTAGGACGGAGTCGTGTGGGCTGGTCGAGATTTTGAGACGCCAGTTGCTTGCTGCCTGGTTCGGGGTCGGGATCCCCGCCTGGTCCATTGGGCAGAAGTGGCTGGAAGGGCAACTCGTGCAACATGGATTTGCTCCCGGCGGTGGGCAACCAGATGCACCTGAGTTTTAACAGGCCGGAGGTCGGCTTGTCAGGGGTTTGACTGCGGAACTGCGGACACTAGGGCCTATCGCAAAGCGGGGCTTCTAAAAATGAAGAAGGCAGGCCACGAACGCTGTCGTCTGCCAAATGTGTTTCTGATGCAGAAGTCAGAAGAGGGACCGGTGCAGCTACTGGCAGTGCTGGCTCTGGGACAGAGTTGGAGGTGCCATTGTCCAGGGACAAGTGCATCTTCAGGAACTGGTGGTCAGACGGAAATCCCCCTGTGCTCGAGTATCCGCACAGATTGACCCCCGGGCTCACTAGTACGTGGTCGGCCCCGTTGAAAGACTGGTCCGTAGCGGCATTGAAGAGGCCTTGCCCAAGCGTCATCATCGTCTCGTCCATGCTGCCACAGTTAAAGTCGCCGGTGAAAACCACTTTATCCTCAGGCTGCTTGTGCTTGTCGATGGCCCCCTGGTAGTTGGAAGCAGCCTTGGAACCTGCATCGCCCCCGCACTGGTCCAAGGGGCCATGTGTGTTCGCAAAGAAGATGGACGTGTTCGTAGCCTTCTCCCTCAGCCGCACCCAATTCATCAGCCGGTCACCCCACTTGTCCTGCAAAACATTTCTGAATAATCCTCACTTAACAGATTTCGTTTATTCATGTTTATTCCACTATCACCAAATACAAGTATCGAGGACGGGAACTAGCAGCTAGCAGGACCAAGACGACAAAAAAGTTCAAGAAGCGAGGGCTGCGACAGGACATGCTCCTACAAACGACCCAACGGAGTAACAGCAAAGCTCGGTGATAGCTGCAAACCCTTCTCAACCAACCTGCATGTTGAGTAATTTGATGTGTTTTAGGCTTTACGGTTTGCAATCTTGGACTTTGAATTTAGAACTTAGGATTATTTAGGGCCTACAGTGTCTACAGCTTCAGGACCGTTAGAGTCTAGGTCTATGGCTTTTGTTGAGGTTCTTAGAGCTCCGAAACCTCAAACCCTGAAACCCTGAAACCGCTACGTGCTGAAAACCCTAAACCCCTAAAACCCCCAAAGCCCTGAAGCCCAAAACCCAAAACCCAAAACCCCTAAAATCCTAAACCCTAACAACCCCCAAAGCCCTGAAGCCCAAAAACCCAAAACCCTAAACCCCTAAAACCCTAAACCCTAACAACCCTAAAGGGCCCCCCCCCCCGTTTGTTTTCACCTCCGGGCCTTGGCGATCCATTCGCTCCCGGGGCCTCCAATCTTCTGAAAGCGCTCGGTGCTCCAAACCATCGGGGCATCGCTCCCTGGAGTTTCAGGGGTTTTGGGGTTTAGGGTTTGGGGTTTTGGGGTTTGGGGTTTTGGGTTCTGGGTTTGGGGTTTAGGGTTTAGGGGTTTAGAATACCTCGGCCCTGAGGGGGTTTAGGGCTCTAGGAAGCTTCTGGGCTTCTTTTTTTGAAGCCTCTGAAAAAGTTCATGGGTTTAGGGCTTAGGACGGTTTAGGGGGACCTTGAGGATCAGGAGCCCTTAGGATTTAGGGTTCAGGGTTTCGGGCTTAGGGTTTTTTGAATTTTTGTGGTTTCACAAAGCTGACACCCTGAAATCTCTGGGGGGTCCTTTCGGCGCGAAGTAGTCGAAGGCCTGGAGGTCTGCTCCCCGCAGAACCTGCTCCACATCATCCTCAGCCCGGAACAGGGCTTTAGGATATAGAGTATAGAGTTTAGGATACTATCCCTTGTTTGATTAAGGCAAGGAGTATACCATTAAATTATAGAACAGGGGTGTCTGCTCTGGATCCACGATTCCCTAATTTCGGGGGATTCTTGAGGTGAAGGCCCGAGCTTGGCTGAAGAGCCTTCGAAGCACATCACCGCATGTGACAACAACTGGCTCTGCTTGACTCGGGGCTCAGGCGCTTTTGGGCCAGACTCGAGGCTTCTCGGCTTCTGGGTTCGGCCGGGGACGTAGTTTTTTTGGGCAAGCGACACACTCTTGGAAGCCTGCAAGGTCGAAAGGAGCATTGTCGGCGATGGTTTTATACCTGGTGTCGGCAGTCAGCAGAGCGTCTGCAACCCCAGAAAGCGGCCTCATGTCATTAGTGCCTACTCCCGTCGAATCTCATCCACCTTCCCAAAATTCGGCACGCAGCTTATCCTGCTTGAGCCTTCACAACTTTCAACGAAGCCTCGATGTCGCAAGCGGAGTTGAACTACCATCACACGAACTCGAACTGCAAAACTCTAAAGTTAAGCGTTGAACCTAGGAGCCTAAATCATGACAACCCTACAGAAAAAAATTACAAGGCTATGAAAGGCCCAGCCACAGCTCCTGGAAGCCTTGACCACCACCAAACTGGTGGCAATTGTGGTACTCCTTCGAAGGCAGGGCGCAAGGCTTTCAAGAGCGTGGGGCTCGAGAACTGAAGGGTTTAGCGTCGTGCCGCCTCGGTTTATGGTTGCCCACATGCATGTTTGTATGCATGTATGCATCTTTGCCCATATGCATGCTGGCATGTATGCATGTATGCAAGCATGCGTGCATGTATGCATGTAGGTAGGCAGGCAGGCAGGCAGGCAGGCAGGCAGGTAGGCAGGCAAGCAGGTAGATATGCGGGTCTGCAGTCATGTAAGCATGTATGCATGTCAGTGTGCGCCCATGTATGCATGCAAGCACGAATGTAGACATGCATGTGGCGCATGTGCGTAAGCGTGAAGTGTGCATTCGTGTATGCGTATGTGATATGTGTCTCTCTCTCTGTCTCTCTCTGTGTCTGTGTGTAAGAGTATGTGTGCATGTGTGTGTGTGTGCATATGTGTGCATATGTGTGCGTATGTGTGCATATGTGCGTGCATGCATGCAGGCATGCATGCGAGTATGCAGTGTATGTGGCGTACGTGATGTATGCAATGTATTTTATGTATGAAACGTATGGTCTGTATGCAATGTGTGTAGTGTATGCAATGTATACAATGTATGTTGTGTAGGTAAGAAATCTAATGTATGCAATGTATGTAATGTACGTAGTGTATGTGATGTCTGTAATGATGTAGCTTATGTGATGTAGCGTATGGTTGGATGGACGGATAGATGGATAGATGCACGTATCACTCCTCTGAAGCAGCGGCACGCTATGATCGATGCAGACAAGTCTCGTTGGACACGCACCACCAGTAAAGATTGTAGGTGGCAACCGTCACTTTGGAGCCCGAGCACCCCATGGCACAAAAGCAACCGGAATGCTTGGTCAGCACCGGAGGCAAACTCAACAAGATGTGATTCCGTCCTGCTCTCCTCATGATCCTAGTCATGAGTGTCCATGCCGTACCCTTAAGGTGCTGCACAACCAACAGAAGTCGGCAAACTCTGAAGCGTCCAACTGAATCTGTCCGGAAGCGCACAAGAAACACAGAGCCGGAAAGGTACAACTTAACAGCATTTGCACCTGGGGACCAGGAATACTGTATCGAGTTCCCGCGGTGTGGGATCACTTGTTGGACACTGCTGCCCAGTTGTTCAGAATCTGACATGTTGCTTCCTGTGGAAGGCAACTACGCAGCTCCAGCAAACCACAACAAGATGCCGATCACATCTGCGGCAAGGGCACTGTCGGGCGAGACCTCCCAACAGCAGCTCTCCCAAAACACTTGGGGTCCATGGGCGCATGGGCTGCGATGTCGAATGCTTCAACTAGGCTTTCAGGGCTTTCACTGTTAGACCATGACTGACAAACATCTGACGATAACACGGATAAGAGTTGGCCCCACATCAGCCGCTTCGGAGTACGGCCAAAGAGCACGTCACTGGTGGGATGCTGGGAATGAAGGATACCAGTCCCAGTGTAACCTTTCTTGGAACCAAAGCACCGAAACAAACATCTTTGCATTTGCACAGCCTTCGGTAGCTGGCCAGCGCTGGTACGGCTGCACCACCAAGGAGGACCTGCGAAAAGAAAAACTGTGCTTTGCCTTTTGCTTCTACCATGTCTCAGACTTCGCTTCGGGCCGGAATCGAGTGCATACTGACTCGAGCCTTTCTGGCAGTTCTATCAAACTTAAAACCCATGACGACCTCGAAGAAAACCCAAATCCCAACCCACAATTCCCGAAAAAGATCCCGAAGCTGTGAGCCTGTCAAACTCTCAGACCCCTAGGTGCCCACACCGACACCAGCGCCCGTGGCGAGCACGCGCTGCGTGGTGGGTCACTGTGCCGCGCAGGCACCGGCAGAGGGGAATTCAATGACGGAGACAGGGCGGCAATCATGGCTGACAAATGGCTGACAAAGGTGGGGAGGGAGAAGCTTTGAAGAGACTCTTCACACTGACCTTGGAGTTGTGTTTCAAGCCTGCGACGAAGAACTCTCTGTGGGCAAGCTGTGCCAAATGATTGGCACAGGAGCAGGCGCTACTCTTCGTGGCCGCCTTCATATGCGGAGCATGTGATCATGTCGTGGCTCCAGCTGCTCTGAGCCAACAGCACAAAAATCTGCTTGTCGACTCGCCCAGCCCAGTGCCGGCACAGGCGCAAGTGAAGGGCTTGGGCTTACACTGTGGGTCTGAGACGCTTCGGGCTGCTGAGCTCACTCAGTGCTTGAAAGGATTGGGACAAAAGTGAGTTCCTAGGAATTCCACCATGCGTAGAGTCAAAGAAAACCCCACTATCTTTGATATGAACCGGACATCTCGCTGCGAACCGTAAGCCGGAGTCGTGATTATGAGGTTGAGAAACGCAGGTGTGGGGTCACTTCGGGTGGAGGTTTGGCCTTTTGAGGCGCACGTAGAGAGGCATGATTTCCTTGGAGACCTCGGGCCTAATCTTCAGTGCGTCCTCCGAGGAAAAACCCCATTGTGCAAAGCCCAAGGCGCAAGGAAAGCCGAATCCTGCTTCCGGGAGAGCTCCGAGAGTGCGCTCCTTACATCGGTCTCCAGCAACGGGGGCTTAGCAGACGCTTTTCATTCTGCTGCTCGCTCTGCATATGGATTTGAGCAAGTGTGTCGACAGGTAAAGGTAAGCCTTCGTCAAATCCGAGCTTCGCATCATACCACCATCGCGAAACCCTAAATGACTCGAGAGCTCGGGAATCCCTAAAGTCCTAGTGACCCGAGCTCCGCACTGCAGGTCCAGCTTTAGCTGGACATTCTGGGCCTCGGGGGACGACGAGAAGGTCTCAAAAGCTGCAGGTAAAATGGGACGTGGTGTGCGGGATGTAGGGATTGGAATGCAGGGCTGGGGACTGGATTGGCGTTTGAAGCCCTCCCACACGAGGTGGCAGCCGAACCTTGACAAACTTGTACACTGAGCTTTGCGAGGCGAACCACTGGGCACTTGGCCAGCACAGACTCGTAGGAGGCCGGGTCAGCACCTATGCAGGCTCTTTGCAGGACAACACAGCCGGGCACGTGCCGTTTCTTGGATTGCAGCAGGACACACGGGTGCCGCCAAACACAAACAATGTGTTTGAACGGTACAAGACAAATGACTCGGATGCAAGTCGATCTTCCCGCCCCCCCCCTTTCCCCAACTTTCGCTAGAATGCTCATTGCGAGCATGCAAGTTTGAGTGCTGGCTATCTACCCCCAAAGCGCCGGCCCCCAGCACAAGTCTGCACTAACTCCAAAAAGCAGTGCTGTCGCGCCATGGTCAGTGATCCCTCAAAGTCAGGGGCAACCCTAAGCCCTAAACCCAAAAAGCTGAACAGAAAACCTGGGAAGGGCGCCTTCCATCAGCTCTCCACACGGGACCCAGGGCCGACAGAGGCACTCACCGCTTCTTCCACTCGCACTGCAAGGCTAAGGAATGCCTTTGGGGGTCTTTTGGGTTTAGGGTCTAGGGGTTTCGGGATATAGGAGCCCTTTCAAAAGAGCAGCACCAGACTACAAGCCCCAGTGCAGACACGCTTTTCGGGGGCGCCGAGTTGCTGAAGTGCTCGTCTCTCCACCATGTGACAGACTGTATACATGGCTCGGGCAACATGTCAATGCGGAAACAAGTGCATCAAATGCACGGCGAAGTTAAGCAGTCCAATTTCAGAGAGTGGGAGTACGCTAAAGCATGCTTTAGGGTGCCCAAAGCAGCACCGGCTCACCGAAGTCTGGCCTCTACTCACAAACATCTCTAATCAGACACCAGTCGAGAGGGCACCAGGAGATGCTAGAATCACGGGAAGACTTGCACCGATTGCACCCAAAGAAGCACCTCTTACGCGTGGCAAGCGAAGCCGCGACATCCGAATGTTCCTGGTGAAAGCATCCGAGCTCTTTTCCCCCTTTCTCTGCTACGAATAGCAATAGTGAGTTTGACGTCGAGCAGGTCTCACCTAGCTTGTCACCTTCGGCGACACCTAAGACCCTGCACGGTCGTCGTGCCAAGAAACAGCGGCAACGGAGCCAAGCCGCACCCCTCTTCCGGCAAATGCCCAGGCCATACAGCATGCGAACGAAGACAATGAAAAACCGCTCCAACCATTCAACTGCCCGACCCACAAAAACGATCAAACCTCTAAACCCTAGAGTCACAGATGTACGGCCCCAAGACTCGGAGTCAGAAAGTTGATTCTGCTTGCCAGTTGGCAACACGAACCACTACGGCAAGCCAAAACGTTGATTCTGCTTTGCTATGTGCCACGGCAAGCTAAAGAAAAACTGGTTCTTAGCTGGGAGTGTCACACTGGGCCACAACGGTCTACCTTGCCTTGCCCACCATCTTTCTTGGAGCCCTGAGTTCAAGCGAACGAACACGACGCTCCCAGCTCCACTAAGGACCAGTGGCGCTCGGGCACCGTTCTTCGGAAAGGCCCCAGAGCCTTTGCCATAAACGAACACTAAAAGTTGCGACATAGCTCCACACACAATATGCTTATGGGAATTACCCCTTTTACGCTCTTTACTGCCTTGGAGGCATGTCGACGCTCTACGGAAAACTGCGAATTACGGGCTGACCTCGGCTCACAAGGAGCTTTTCTCCTCCTCCTTTGGCTGCTCCACCTTCTCCGGCTTGCTGACCTGTCCAAGATGCCAAGGCCGAAGGCAAGGTTGCTCTTCCTCCTAAACCCGAAGTGATGACATCAAAGACTGCTCGAGAGCCTGGGGACTCAACATGCTGAGCCGAACGTTCAGAAGTCTGCTAACTAGATGCATCCGCAACATCGAACCCGCGTCCAAAAGTCAAAGGGCTATTGGAGCCGTGGAGATGGGGTCGTCATGCTGCATCTGGCTTGATCGGCCTTCTGCTCCTGTCATCTCGCCTTGCAAGCCTCCATAAAAGCTCACTCCGAGAACCATCAAGCTCACCCCCGGTCATCCCTTAACTCAGGCACTGCACAGTTTGCTGGCCTCTTCGGCGGCCTCCTTCGAGTGCGGGGCTAAGACTTTCAGGGTTTCGGCTCAAGAACGCATAGTCCTGCTGTTGTTTACGATGACGATGATGATTTCGACTAGAGAAGACGTGCATGACAATCACCACAAAATGAAGATGTGTTGACATATGCAGTTGCATTGATCATGGTGCTGCCAGATGTACTTGCACCTGACTCTAAGAAGCAGCAAAGAAGTGCAGTGTCGGTCCATCCAAAATGCTTAGCAAGACAAAGTGGATTTGCGGCAGTCGCAGGGATGGCAGGTCGGGTCGGGCGCCTTCGTGGGCTCCAGGTTCAGGAGGTCGGGCTTCGCCGGCTCCGGCTCCTCCACCTGAAGAAAGGGCCCGGAAAGACCGCGGAGCCCAGGAGCCGCTCCAAAAAACCCCTTGGGCCTCGTCGGGGTCCTCGGCGGGGTGGCCGTCCAGCTGCTTCAGCTCCTCCTCGCTGAACATCCAGCGCATGGCCTCGCCAGGAGAGATGGCGGGTTTTCGCAACGCCACACTTAGCGTGCAACTTTAAGACGCGAGTCGTCGCCCCAGGGTCAAGCCTTTGGAACCTTCGGCTTATACCTTTGGTCCGCATCTCACTGAATCCCCTCCCTTAGTGCCTTAGTGAGTTTCGCACGCGGATGCCCGAGGGCTTCGATGCTGCTTCGGGCTTTGGGGCTGTGGATCCGGTGATCTCCGCACCTTGCGGATGATGGCCAGGGATGCCATGAAGAAGGGGAAGACCACGGCAGTCTCCTGGCATCGAAGTCTGGTTCCAGACCCCGAAAACGTCACGAGGAACCCTCGCATCGGGTGGGTCCTTGATCTCCTTCAGTCCATAGAGGATGGCCGGGCAGATGAACTGCAGACAAGCCGATTGGGGCTTCGAGCGAAGGTTCGGTGCAGCCCAACAGCCGATGACTTCGCTGCTGGAGGCTTTACAGGACGAGAAGCTTTCGAGCAGGGCGGCCCTTTGTTGCTTTGTCATGGGACGGAGCCTTCGCATGTCATGAAACCCCTTTGAACGAACCGAAAGCTGCGGCCCCCGTCCAGCAACCAGAAACATAGCCTGCACGAACGTGTAGAGGTGGACCCTGCTCACGGGCAGCTTCTGGATGTAGTGGTACGACGGATACTTAGAGGAGTCCCAGATGAGCCAGAGCTTCCTCAGGTCTTGCGGGCACAGATCGGGAGCGCTTTGCACAGCGGCCCCGTATTGACGCCTGCACGATGTGACAGCCTTCGCGATGGCCTCTTATGGCACATGTTTCTCGATGCTATCTGACACACAAGACGCCTGGCCGACAAAGAAGACACGCAAGCCCGTGGATCCCGCGCCAAGATTTTTGCATGCAGAGGGGCATGCGGTCGAAGAGGTTGTTTCCCGTCAGGGAGGCGATGCCCATGTAGAAGAAAACGCCCTGGAGGACGGCGCGGGGAATGAACTTCCTCAGCAAACGAAATGTCAGGAAAGAGGCTGTGATTCACGGCACTGCTACCGCCAATTCAAATCGACAGCAAGATCGCGGTTGACGCTGCGGTTCAGCGACGTCTGGCTTGGCTGTCCGGTCTAGAGTCCTGGGGTTTCTTGATTAAGGAAACAACCGAAAAACCCTTCTCAGTCAAGATGCAGAACCGGTGCCATGAACAAGGCACAGCCGATGAGCACGTGGATCCTTCCAGGCTCTACAGATTCGCCATTGCAGTGTGGCTGCTGGAGGACATAGCTACAGAGACTGATGCTCGGGCGCAGTCGTGTCAGCTGGATCAACCCCAACCATCGGCCCAGGCACAGGAAGTTCGTGGCGCGTTGCTCGACAACCTGCCGCTGGCATCAACAGGGGGCTGTGGCCATGGGATCACAAAGCTCTCCGCGGCTTCTGCTGCTGCTCTGCGCGCAAGTCCACCACCAGCCGGCGTACCGATGACGAGGCAGACTTGGGACAGAAACTCCCACCGGCTGCAACGCAATGCTCACAGATGCTGTAGGATCCAGTCAGGCAGGATGTCTGAATTGACGATTGTATTTTTGCTCACTGCGTCTACAGTCTACGGATGATCTAGCACAGTGGGAAGACACCTGCGAACCTGCAAGCACCGCTGAGCATGCCTTGGTTGGTACTTTGCGCTCGCCTTGAGGAAGCTGCTGCACCTTGGCTCGAGGATTGGGTCGTAGATTTTCTGCGGTTAAATCGGGATCTGCGATTGGGAATCCGCAGCTTCGGCTCCAACAGGACGCAAAAGAAACTTGGGGAAGTTGGGCATGGCGAGGAAGCTCTCGCCCCGGTGCTACATCTGTCATTGCGGTGATCTGAAGTTCTCGGCGATGTGAATGCAAACAAAAATATACATGCTACATGTTTGTTGTATGCAAGTAGTCTAAACACATGAGCACAAAGGTATGGGTGCATGAAGAAAGACATAGACATAAACAAACAAGCATAGACAAACACATAGACATACACGTAGGCGCGGACATAGACTAGACCTAGACATATCATACATATACGCGTGTGTGTGTGTGTGTCTTGCTTACACAACTTGTATATGTAGACAATGTAGACACTCTCTCTCTCTCTCTCTCTCTGACTCCATCCATCCATCCATCCATCCATCCCTGCCTGCCTGCCTGCGTCCGTCCGTCAGTCCGTTCGTCCGTCTGTTCGTCCATCAGTCCATCCATCAGCCACCCATCTATCCATCTATCCATCCTCGTGTCACTTGCTTCTTCCGCCACACCCCACCCCACCCCAACCCACCCAACGAGAATAACAGCCTGTAGCAAAACATAAGCCATCCTACTCAATCGAACAACCTATAGGGTCTCTACCTAGTTGTCTGACAACTGGAACCCTCATCTCAAGAGAGGAGAACGCAGAAAATACTCATTAAGACAAAGAGAGACAAAGCCAGAGAGAGCGAGAGAGAGAGAGAGAGAGAGATATATATATATAGATTGATTGGGGTTATAGGGCCAGGGTCCTACATCAGCATCGTTTTCCTGTGCACTCCCGATCCTTTCCCTTTGCAGGGGATGGAAAAAATCATTCTGCCCCAAGACTCTGAACAAAAATGGCGAAAGTCTCATACTCCGCAAACCCTGCCCTGCAGAACCAACATCCGCGACAAGACCCTAAACCCAAACCCTCAACAACCCCCAAACCCCAAGCCCCCAAAACCCTCAAAGCCGTCAAAGCCCCAAGCCACCACTGCAACAGGGGCCTATGCAATTACCAATACTATTTTTGGGGGGTCCTTATTACAGTTATATTTATCGTATAATCTACCCCCAAACCCTATTCTAATTGATTAAGCCCCTTTTTCCCCTTCAAGGGTTCCTCATTTTGCATTCCTGCGTTGTTTTTGCTCCCCCCCCCCCAAACCCTCTTCTGCTCTTTGAGCCCTAACATCCTAAACCCCAAGCTCTAAACCCTGAGCCCTTGACCCATCTAAACCCCTAAACTTCCCTACACTCTCATCCCAAACACCCCAGGCCCTAAGCCCATCCATATCTAGGTTCCCCAGTAGTACCCT